TAACCTCTGCTCTGCAACAAACCCAATGCAGCACCTCATGTGCTAACTCTTCAGAGCGGGCTTCCCTGATCCTGCACCCTCTAGGCGAGGGTCGGCTCACAATTCCCATCATCTCCAGCACGCGGCGGAAGACGTGGGCGGCATCCAGGAAGGCCGAGGCCAGAAGAGACGCTTCCGACTTGGGGGTGACGCAGTTTTGCTAGGCGGGTTTTGCTGTGACTGCATAACATGGCCGCCGTTGCTGTGAAGTGCCATCCGGTTGCCTCTGGCCTGCAGCAGCCCCATGAACGCGGGCCCTCCGGAAAGCACAGCCCTGCTCTGAGGCAGCAACTCCTTTGACGGGGTTCACCCCTCCTCCTCCTCCTCCTCCTCCCCCCCTTCCCCGGCACGCTGGTCTTCTCCAGGGAGGCCTGCCTTTCCCTGAAGTGCCCAAAGAATGGCGGCTTCCGCTTCCTTGCCTGCAGACATCGCCCGGACACCCCGCACGGGCGGCTCTTTTTGCTGGCCACCAGGGAAGCCATTTGGGGTGAGGCCCACAGCGCCCCAAAAGCACGGCTTTCCACAGAAGCTTCCAGATTAGAAAGCTCTCCCTTCAGGGGCGCACGGCTGGCGGAGCTGTAGGCCAGAGCTGGGGGGGGGGCACCCTCCATTGCTGCTGGGCGGAATTCCTGCATTGCCTCACAAAGGGTTTCTTCAAGGCAGGCTTAATCTCCCGGTTTAAGGTCCTTATGGGGGCTTTTCTGATCAAGATGGGGCTTCCCTGATTTGATTTGCTTATCTTGCCTTAAGGGGCCATGTAATCTGGGCTGAGTGACCTTGAGTGTGGTCTCCACTTGACACACCCAGACTCTGCTTTGCGCTCACAATCGGGAGGAGGGAGGGGTGCCCCCCCCTTTTGTGGCTTCCTCTTGCTTCAGAGTAATGGGCAGCTCCCTTCTCGGCACCCCTCCGGGGCCCACGGGCTGATATTCATGACAAAAAGCCCTTTTAGGAAAGCGATTTCCTTCAGGATCACTCCAGGCAAAGGAGATTTGAAATTTGAATGCCGAGGGATTATTCTGCATCTCTCTGCATCTCAATGCCCCATATCCAGGCCGATGGTCCCTCTTCCCCCCAGCAAAGGGGGCAAATGCCCTGCCTGCCCCGCTTCATTGCTTCCCTGCAGCTGTGCGGAGGGAGGTTTCCTCCTCTCGGCCCAGACCGAGGCTTCTTCCCGAGCAGGGGGGCATCGGGAACGTTAGAAGAGCTGCAATGGGTCCGAGCAGGGGCTGTCTCGGCCTGGCTTCTGCTCTCACAGGGCCCAGGTGGGAGCCCCAGAGCGAGAGGCCCCTGCGGGCCCCGCAGCCTGTATTCTCCACGGCTGGCTCGGGCCCTGGAGCCACGGCCGTGAATCCGAGGACCTGGCCAGCCCCATCCTAACGCTCTCCACACCGAGGACGGGACAGCCCTGCTGGATCAGGCCCACCAGTCCGACCTCTGTTGATACGGGGGCTGCCTACAGGAAGCAGGTCAGGAGGGCTCCTGCCCATGTTCCCCAGCAGCTGGGGTACATGGGCATGGTGCCTTCTGAGCCTGGAGTCTTCAGGACTACTGGCCACTCATAGGCCTCTCCCCGGGGAAGTTTCCCCATCACCTTTTGAAGCCCTCCAAGTTGGGGGCCATCAGTGGCTGCAGATCCCGCCACTTTGTGCTTCCCTGTGCGAGGAAGGCTCTCCTGGAGCACCCGCCCGCCCGCCCGCCCCAGGGGTCCCTTCCCGGTGCTGAAGGAACCGTGTCTCCCTGCCCACTTATCCTCCCCGGGCCTGCTTTTGAGCAGCCCTGCCTTCCCTTACCCCCCTTTTCCTAAGCTGAATGACCACGGAGGCTGTGGCCATTCCCAAGGGGAAGCTGCCCCAGTCCCCTGGTCGTTTTCAGTGCCCCTCTCCGCATTTCCCCCAGCTCAGTCATGTCCTTTTGCCGGGATGGTGGCCAGAACTGAGCACAATATGCCAGGTGCCGTGGCCCCAGAGATCTGCAGGAGGCAGCCTGGCTCTCGGAGCCCTTCCTCATTGTGGCCAGCATGGAGCCCGTCTTCCTCAGAGCCCGGGCCAGCACTGCCGCCAGGCGGCCCACCGTCACCTCAAGATCCTTCCCTTCCTCGCTCAGTCACTGCTCAGAACCCATCAGCCCGTCCTTTAAGTGGGGATATTCCCCCCCCCCCGTGTGCATCACGTTGCACTCACGTGCACTGGATCGCACTGGCCACCGTGGCGGCCCTTTGCCCGGCTTGGAGAGGCCCCTTTGGAGCTCCTCGCAAATCCATTTTGACCACCCTAAATAGTCCGGTGTTATCAGCAAACTCAGCCATTTCATTGCTCACTCTGAATTCCAGATTATTTATGAAAAGGTTGAAAAGCACCGTTCCCGATAGAGATCCCCAGGAGACCCTCTCCCCACTTATATCCCCCACTGGGAGAAATGGCTGCTTATTCCCGCTCTCTGCTTTCTGCTCTTCAACCAGTAACTGATCCATAGGAGGGCCTCATTCTAGAACTGCTAAGCGGGCTCAGGACCCTTGGGCAGGGGGCTTTGTCAGCTCTTTGGGGAGTCCAAGTAAGCCATGTCTGCTGGATTGCCTATCCAGGTGCTTGCTGCCCCCCTCAAAGACCCCCAGCAGGTAAGTGAGACAAGACTTCCCCTTGCAGAAGCCACGCTGAGCCTTTTCGAGCAGGGCTTGTCCCTCTGTGTGCCACCGATTCGGTTCTTGATAACACTTTCAAGGAATTTACCCGGAAAGACATTAAGCTAACTGGGCTGTAAATTCCCCAATCCTCTTCTTAATCCTCCTGGATCCCTTTTAAAAAGCTGCTGCTACCTTGGCCACTCGCTGGTCTTACACGGGGAGCTTCCATTATGGAGCCATGGGGACCGGGGGGGGGGGGGAGCTTCCCAGCTGAATTTATGCCCATTGTCGCTGCTGTCCGAAGCACTGCCAAGTCCTGCGACAGACAGAAACCTCACCTGTGAACTGCCAGAGTCCACCCAGCTGTGAGCACACACTGCAGACTTTGCCAGCCAGATCCCTTCAGGGGGAACAATTTTTTCACTATTCTTACCTGCTTCTCACTTTTAGCAAGTGCTTACATGTTTTTGCATCATCCTTTAATTCTTAGAGGTATTTTCCCCACCCACCTCCATTTCCCCAGTTAGTTTTAAATGAATTTTAATGTAATTTTACTGTCTTGTTTTTATATCAAGTGTTGCAAGGGAGCTGTGGGAATACATATTTTTCAGGAAATCACATGGCTTTTGATTTAGACAGAAGCTGAAGAAAGCAAAACTAGGATCAAATGCAAGATATATTTGCAGTGATTGTTTTATCATGAGCTTACTGAAAAATGCACCACCCTCTGTAGAATTTCTGCTTGTTTTTATTTTAAGAGGGCCTCTTCATTAGATACACATTTCAGCACAAGAAGCTAGAATTCATCTGCAAATCCTACCTAAGCCTTCCTCAACCGGGTGTCCTCCTCTTGTGCTGGGATACAACTCACATCATCCCCAGCCGTCATCCCCAACAGTCATGCCAGCTGTTATAAGTGATTATGTGCCACTTCCTCCTGCATGTACATTGTGTAAACCGTTTGGAAAGCATTATGCTAATCCAATGATATATAAATGCTTAAATAAATATATATAAATAAAAATATACTTGGAGTTTTGCACAGAAATGCCAGTAGGCATGCTGAACCTGTGGCAGTTTGTGCCCCTTTGGCCACACGGTTTCCAATTTTTAAATCCGTATTACCTGCCAAGTGAGGATCACGTCGCTTCCCTTCCCTTCTCGCATTCTGGAACATTCTTTTGTAGCCTGAAAATGGTGCCTGCTCTGACTGGCAGTAGCCCTGCTTGTGATACGCTGCCTGCCTGTGAAGGTGCTGGGGGCAGACGTGACCTTGTGCTCAAACCCCCATGGCCCTATGGGTCCACTATGGGGAATTCCCAACCTGGCACGTTCTCAACCTTTTTCAGACGGAGTTCCTAACCACAGACTGTGCTGGCTGGGGATGATGGGAGTTGTAGACTGGCACATGCTGGAGGAACCCAGTTGGAGAAGGCTGGCTAAGGCCCCGAGGCAAAAGAAAAATCTGTACCGGATCAATCCGGAATAACTACCCCACCCAGTTTTGGATTCCTTGCTCGCAGCTCTTAGAACAGGTATTTCAGGGCACCTAAGTGCACCCAGAGGGTCAGGGCAGATAACAAAGGTCAATGGAGAACAGCGAGGATGTCTCCGAAGCCCCGGGGGGCATTCTTTGCCGACGCACGCAATCCTATGCAAGTCGAAGCAGAAAAGAGGCGTGCGACTTCTGGCGGTTTTTCAGTCTAAACTTGCCTAACATTGTGCCCCAAGGGAGGAGAGCTAAAAGGAACCTCCCCATTCAGGAGCACTCTCTCCCCTCAACACCAACTGGTAGGACGCGAGCAGGTGGGGGGGTGCAGTAGTGCCCTCTGGAGGCACGGAGACCACCCAGCCCCCGGGGGCGCCTTTGGTAGCTCCCGGGCTGCGGACTCCCCCTCCGGGCCAAGGGACGTTTGCCCCACTCGGCTTGGTACGCGCCGGCGAGCAGAGGCCGCTTTATTGAACGAGGCCTCCGCCCTGCAAGGGGGTCCGGCGGGTCGCCTGCCGTTTTCACCGGCACCCTGACGCGTCCCGCGGATTTGAAGGAACGGCTTGACGCGGCCGGCACCGATCCCGCAAGCGGCGCCAGTGCGCCTTGGGCAGGCGGCGGCGGCTCGAAAGCGCACGGGGCCGGCGCGGCTGGGGGAGCCGCGCTGCGCCCCCGCTGGCCCGGGCGGGGCGGCCGGCAGGGGCCTTCGCGCAGCTGGGCGGGGGGCGGGCCGAGCGGG